GTCCAACTTCATGCAGGTTTCTTGCCATTACCAACAATGTTGCAAAAACACCCTTGTGTACAATCATTTTTAAGGACTCTTGTCTTTCAGTAGCATAGGTGATGAAGGCAAACAAGTCAAAGGTGGAGTGCACTTCAAATCTGATACTGTCGGATTACACCCTGAAAAGACTGCAGCAACTTTGACAAGCAACAGACAGCACACTCTCTGCATGGGCCAGTGAAGATTTTGAAATGTTGTCAATTCAATGATAACGTCTCTGACATTACTCTTTCTACCCTTGATTACCAGGGAATTGGAGCATCTTCACCTCTGTGTTTTGACCACTTATATTTACTCTCTGTAACTTGTTTTCATTTTATTGGCCCCTTAAAAAAATTCTTTTGAGCCAATTAAGAGGTCACTATAGACCTCGTCATTAATATGTGAGATGGACTAATACATTCTCCCAGTTCATCATTTGCTTCGCACCCACTCCCCACCCTACACACACATAGTGGTGGTGGTTGTTAGATGCTATCTAGGCAATTTTTTATTCAGGGATCCAATGTGATAGAGTAAAACTGTCCCATATGGCTTCCTGCATTGTAACCTTTACAAGAGCGGATCACCAGGTCTTTTCTATCACAGAGCTGCTGGATAGGTGCCACTCTTTCCATTAGCAGCCAAGCGCTCAACTGGTCTGCCATCAGGGCTCCACATACAGGTATATAACTTATTTTACAACCAAACATATAAGAGTGCCAAATCTGTATCATATTTCTATATCATACAAAAGGCAATGAGCAAGAACACATACCAAAATAGTCTCAGATTCAAGTAATTGAGGAAAGAGAATGCTATGTTAGTAGGGTTACAGGGCGGGAGGGGTTGGGGGCTGGGAGGAATGTTCACTGATAACCTTTTAAAATCACAATATAGAAAATTTACTTTAAATGAATGACAACATTGCTCATGCCTTAAAACAGAAATCAAGGAAAGCAGGGGCACAAATGTTAATAATGACAGAGCAAAGCTGCTGCAGAGTAAAAGCTGCACACAAAAGGAAGTCACAAAAAGTCCACAGATTTATAATAAAGTATAACTAACTTCACTAGCTACCCATGGAACTGGTTTCTCCTCTGCTCAGGAAGATGAGAAGTATGCCACCAAGCAATAACTGAGAAACGTTAAATCTACCCAGCACTGAAAGTTGATATGAAGGATCTAGAGCATAGGTTCCCAAACGTATTTGGGTTTTTTATTAGTAGCTTAATTCAAAGTTGATTGAGCAGTTGTGTTCTGAACATGTTGATGACTCATTTTGCACTTACTCTCTCCTGTAGGGCCCTTCTCAAGTTGCTTGGCACCTAGTGGGAGACATAGATGGATAAACAGATAGGCCCTAGTGGGCTGTGTGGCAGGGTTAGGAATCTTTTCATTAAGAAAAAAATTACTCAGAATAACCCTGGCATTTAAATTTTTTCTTACTATAGCCTGTAATCCTGGATA